GATATAGCCGACATATAACAGTACCTCCCGATATTCGGTATTTTGATGGTTTTTGCCACATTTTTGCACAGAATTATGTAAAAATTGGTATTTGTATTTCATAATGGATTCTAGCTCTGATGGCGAAACATTGTATGGAAAAGTTTACGTTTTTGTATAGCCCCCATACCACGATACTTAACGATATTCGGTATTATGATGATTTTTGGCACATTTTTTCACGGAATTGTCTAAAAGTTGGTATTTGTAGTTCATAATCTATTCTAGCTCTGATGACGAAACATTGTATGTATAGGTCCACGTTTTTTATGGCCCCATATAAGGGTACCTTCCGGTATTCAGTATTTTGATAATTTTTGGCACATTTTTTCACGGATTTGTCTAAAAATTGATATTTGTTGGTCATAATGGGTTCTAGCTCCGGTGGCGGAACATTGTATATATAGGTCCACGTTTTTATGTAGCCCCCATGTAGGGGAACTTCCTGATGTTCGGTATTATCATGATTTTTGTAAGATATTTCCACGGATTTGTCTAAAAATTTGTATTTGTAGTTCATAACGGTTTCTAGGTCTAGTGGCAGAACATTAAATACTTAGATCCACATTTTCCCATAGTGCACATAAAACCATACCCATCGATATTCGGCATTTTGATAATCCTAGTCACATTTACCCACTAAATAGTTTCAAATTTGGTATTAAAGAAGATTTGGTAGATGACAATCCTTGAAGTATTAAATTTTCTATAGAGATTCCCGTTTTGGTATGGCCCCCACATAACGGTCTACCAGCATTATTCAAATGGTCTTATTGGTATTTTTATTTTAAAGTAGAACCATTTTAAAATCAGATACTTTTATATAAAAATGTTTTCTTTACCCAAAGGTGGAGGGTATTTAAAGTTCAGCCTGGCCGAATTTAATGTTTTTTTTTTACTTGTTTTGTTCTTAACTTACGCTTTGATTGCTTTATTTTGTCTAGTTATTGCAAAAATAAAGAAATCACACTCTCTTTGAAATATTTGAGAGAAATGAGCTTCTTAAGAGAAATTTGCTCATCCCAAATGTATTGTAGTGATGAGCAAAAAACTAAACGACTATAGAAGAGAGGATTGTAATTTTCTTAGTGTCTCATTACTTTATATCAACCGTTTTGAAACATCAATATTGCCTTGTTCCCAATTCAAATTTTTTCAAATTAAGAATTTAAAAGTGTCTTTGACGCTGATTTGTTGAGGTTTTGTGGAAACTAAGAGAAATCAAATTTGGTAAATTATCATGTGCGATTTAATGCGATTGAATGACCCGACTCAATTCAAGTCTGATTACGTAGGAACACCCAAATACCTATCCGATTTTTTTCGATTACTCTCAGCGGAAATAGAATAATCAAGTTGTTTGTATGGCAGTTAAATTTTTTCACATTCGTTGTCTTGGTTTTAAAAAAGCAAATCTCAACTTCAGGTATTGGCCAAGACAAATAAATTATAATCCGCTTGATGGCGGCGTACACAACACCCACTATTTTAATAAATCTGAAATATTATTGCTGTTGATTTGCGTTTCAAAGTGAAAGTATTAAAAGCAATATTGCAAAAATAACAAAAAAAAAAACAACAACATTTCAAAGTATAAATGAACATTTTACTAAAATTATCTTTTTGCCCTTTCGATTAATTTTCAAGTTGCAATAGGTCTGGTGTTTATTAACTGTTATACATGGCTTTTTTTATTTTATTTTTGAATTATTTTCATGTTTAATATTGTCAAAATTTTCAAAATACAAAATATCTTTTAATATTTCAGCCACACATAGTTGTGCTAAAAACCAAAATCGCTCATTAATTAAAGGGCAATTTAAATCCAAATAGACATATTATTAATTGTAAAACCACGAGAACTCTTTTTTTTCTAAGAGTCAATTGTGGCATAGTATCCACACTATTTTATAGCTATTGTGTTTTATTCAATCTGCAATAAAGACTATTTTAAGAATTTGTTCTAAAATATAATTGAGGTTTATTCAAATTAAATAAATTTGGATGAGTAATAAAAAAGGCGACATGCTTTTTAAAACACTTAACTATTTTGTATCGTTTACACTACGTTTTTCATCAATGAAAAACCTGACACCAGCTACTTAGTTGGCTGGACCAATTCGTATTTGTCTAAGAACTCAACATTACAATAACCAACAACAACAACAATATGCCTCCAGTAGCTGTGGGTGTCGTGCAAACATTAATCTGCCGGTAAAATGCAAATTTACAAGGTGTTTGTTAATAAATTTACCTGCATAAAAAAGTATGTCCATATGTCGGTACGTATTTCGCAACAGTTCAGTGAATAAAATGTGAGCCAAAAACGCCCATGAGAAAATTGTCACAGATCAATGGCACAGTTAAATTGTATGCAAAATTTAACTTTTAAAGGGAAGCATGAGGTGGCTAGGAAAGAAACTCGGGGAATACAATGTATGTCTAGAAAAAGCCAAGCCGATGTCCGAAGTTCAATTCTAAAACACTCTTAGTTCCAGGAAAAATGACGTCCAGGTCGTTCTTACGGTTGTGCAGAAACCAATCAAAGTTGGGGATGAAATAATAAAACTAGTACAGAGCAACTTTGACTGCGTTAGGCATAAGACTGGGTAGAATTGATAATGCATTATCAGTTATGTTTGACTCACAAAAAATCCCACCCACGTATTTATGCCTCTTTTGAAATTTGTATCAACAATTTTACCATTTGCCGGTCTTTTAGGGACTTCACTGTCCTATACGTCAAAAAGTAACAAATTTTACTTTTAAAAAAGGATAGAGTACATGCATTTGTACAAAAAAGTCGTTTCCGTACCAAGAAAAAACATTTCTACATGAATTTGAGGGACGGAAATGGCTATGATCCTTAAAAACTTTTAACTAAACAAATTTGATGGAGTAACAACTAGTACCACGTCTTGCGGATACCTTGGCATAATAACAGAAGGAAGAATAAAGCTACCAACTAAGTACAAAATTTTTCTTTTATAGGTCCATACTGTGGCAGCACATACACACAGAATGTATGCAGAACGAGATGAAAAAACTGCAACCAACTTCAGACTGCTGTCATTTCTACGCTACTCGTCCGACAGCTGTTAAAACTATTCCAGTGACAGCTTATTATATTTTTTGCAAGCCTACAAAAGCATTTTGGTGAGAATTTTCCAGAAAAAAAGTTATTCGTGATGGAATTCAAGCGTGATAGTGTGATTTCTTTATATTTGGCTGGAACACCACAAGTGGCTATCGTTAGAGCACTCCAGCATTGAATAAATCTCTGGCTATCGTTAGAGCACTCCAGCATTGAATAAATCTTTTGTGTCTCGTACCATCGCTCGTTACCGTGATACTGAAACTGGTAGCGTAGCCCGACGTCAAGGAATCGCTCGTTATCGTGATACTGATACTGGTAGCGTAGCCCGACGTCAAGGAAGTGGACGGAGGAAAACAGCAACATCAGCAGAAATGGTTCGAAAAGTAAAGAAGCAACTTGATCGCAGTGGCGAAAAATGGCTCGTGAGCTGAACATTTGGCAAATATTGAAAAATGACCTCGGGGTAAGGCCATTGAAATTCCAAAAAGTGCAAGAACTTTCACCGCATCAGAAAGAAAATCGACCCAAAGGAGCTAAAGAGTTGCTTCGTTTGGCCGAAATTGGTGAACTGCAGGCTCCTGGATTAAATAAATATATGTTCTCTTTCTGCTATAGCCCCCTAATAACAGTGCCACTAATTTTCGGTATCTTAGAAGTTTTTGTCCCAGCACTCTATCAAATTGACAGTTTTTTAACATATCTGGTTCTGGGTGTGTAAATTTAGACCTCGCATAAAACAATCAATGTAAGTTCACTTTTTGGTATAGACCCCCTATAAACGTACCTCTTGGTTTTCAGTATTTTGAAACAAAATAGGCGGCTCTCAAAATATTAAAAGTATATATATATATATCCCCCATATAACAAACTTTCAAATCTTATGGATTCTCAGGACGATTTGAATCCCCTGAACTTAATGTCGTTTTAAGTGGTTAGTATATTTTAATGAACAATTTAAAAAAAAAAACTCTTGGCTAACGCTAATTTTAATGAAAAACATTAGCTCCAAAACACATTTTTTAGAAATGTTTTTTACCTTCTAGTACGGAATTCTAACAACCTAGCTTTAGTTCGTGCTATGCACTTATTTTAAACTATTTGGAAAAATTTTTAGTCAGGAATCTTTTATCGTCAAATCTTTTATCGTCATTTTAACCAATTGAGGTAGCGATGCAAAAGGAGAAGACCGTTATGGCACATCTTCTTTTACAACTTTGAAACCCCATAGCCTTTTTAAGAAATCCTTGCCTTGCTTACGATTAGTCCAAACCGTATATTTGGTTTCAAAGAGACAAGGAAACCAGTGAAATCGTTTATTATGTACATTTTTGACCATCTATAAATAAAAAAAAGTTTTAATGGAAAAAGTCCTTGTTACGTTTATAAACAATGTAAACGTTTTAACGGAAAGACACAAACAGTTAATAAAAACTATATTTTGTTAACAAATTCTAAAAACGAATGTTACTATTTTTAGGGCTAAAAACTGTTAATCTATCAATAAATTGAATAAATATCTGATAAGGAAATGTTCTGATAAATCAAAAATACAAAACGTGAGTAATTTATTTTGAATTATTTTTTTAATTGTATTAAAAAGTCCTTAATATTTTATGTCTTTAAATCAGACACTTTTTATGGATTTTTTTTCTTTGATTCAAAATTGCCTCTCTTTCAGAGTTGTATTCGACATGGAAATAAAAAAAATCCTAGAATACAGGTCTTAAATTACACTAATTAACATAATGTTTCTTGCTGTTGCTTTTTCAATATAAAATTAATTAAAAAAAAATTTCCAACCGTTCTTTAAAACGCTTTAAATTAATACTTTCGTTCACTCAAACCATTTGCACTCTTTACTAACCTAAATTCAAACAATCACTCGTAACGGTCACTCCAAAATAGTTTTCTTTTCGAATTCAGTATTCCTTTTACACCGATTCGAATTAAGACTTTGTGTTTCTTATTCTTTCTCTCCCCTGTATTTTGCTTTGCACAGTTTAGCAGAAGACTAGCTTCTTTAGGTTTTGCCAAAATTAAAATCACAGCTTCAAAATGTTTCGTTTGTTTCGTTTAATTATTTCTTTTTGTTTTTAAATCTTTTTTTTTTTTAAATTTTTGGCTTTGAGCGTTTCGCGTTTAGTTGTTGTTAATCAAGAAGAAGCTTAAGAAAGACGTACGTTTCGATCGAGCACCAAAATCACACTGAAATTAGAAAACCCCGCATTAACAGAACTGAATGTCGGTGGTTGGTGGCTTTGGCTGGCTGACGGGCTAGCTGGCCGATTGCAGTACGTTGGCTGGCTGGTTGGTGTTGGAGCTGATGGAGCTGTTGTTGTCGCTTCGATAGGAGATGTGACCGTATACGTATGTCGGCGACAACAACACTGACAGACATACAGACGTACGACAGCAGCAACAACAACGACAACAACACATCCGATTCGATCGATCGATACAAACATGTTTTCGAAAAAAGGTAGTTTGTTTCGGGTTCTGCTTTTTTGGCGTGTGAGTGTGTGTTGCTTATTGTTATTGTTTTTTTGTTTTCATTTGTTGTCTTTATTTAATTTCAGTTTTATTGCCATTTTCATTCTCGCCATTCAGTTAGCCCACAACACTTGTTTTTATTAGTTTATTAAAGTTGAGAGATTGAATGAAAACGAAAAAAAAAAAACAAAAACGAAGAAAATAATAGAATACAATTTTGCAAAAGTCGTCGTCGTCGTCGCCGTTGCCTCCGTCGATGTTTGTTTGTTTAGCTGTGTCATTTGGCTTTGTATTTGGAATCACCTAAAAGTCTCTCAGTTTTCAAATATCAATTCACAATATCGCCCCGGCATTGCACAGTGGGGAATGTGCCAGAAGAAATCGATTAGCCCACCCTCAATAAATGATAACATTCTTGAAATGTTAGCAAATATTTTGAAATTAGTTTTGTTTCTTTTGTTTTTGCACAGATAAGATTTCGAATTCCGAATATGGAGTTAAATTACCAGAGCATAGTATGTTATTATTTAATTGTCATTGAATAATGGATCAGTATTCTGCCGCATGCTCCAAGGCACACACACAATTTGGTTTGTATTTCTTAGTGAATATTCGAAAAAAAAAACAGAAAAGGAACTGACCTTCGAACAAAATCTTCCCTATAACGAAAGAGTTGCTTGCATATTATTTTCTGACTCACTGATATTCAAAATTCGATCTTATCTCCAAAGAACCACAATTACTTTTGGTTTTCTTACTATAAGGTTTCGTAATGTGCTAAATTGTACAAAGTTTTGTACCAATAGTCCTGGATGAACCCCTCGAGACTAAAAGTTATGTTGTTGCAATTTCATATCATAAGAGTGCGAAATGTACTGATTAGTACCAACCATGGTACAATAAGAAGGTAGAACAGCTTCGTAATACTAGAGAAATACATCCCTGAGGCTATGCCCGCTTCCTGTCAGAATTACTCAAAATTCTATGCAACAAGTTGTTTTTTTTTTATTTAATATTATTTGTTTATTTTTAAAATGAGTCAAATAGCGCGAAAGATGAATTAGATACCTGGATGTTCTCTGAAAAATATGATCCTAAGTTTTCAATCTTTTATTTCCATGGTAAATCTGGTTAATATCATTAATGCGCGTCCCGCAATTTAAGTTTCCTCCAATCATTGATTTGGGCAAAGAGTCGGGCAGCTCAGGTAAGGTAGAACACCTTTTTGTTGTACCATGAGGTGAACTACTAAAGCTATGAAAACGTACGAAATAATTCCAACTGTTTTGCCATTCCGAACATCGTCTATCACAAAATTAACTATTAATGTGGTTTCAACAAAATATGTAAATCGAATATTTTGTATAAAGGTCAACGTTGGTGTGAAAATTTGAAATTTTCTGCAAATTCGCCCCTAACAAACTAATAGCCTTTGGACGAATGGGGAAAGTCATATGTCAGTTTCCTTATCACTAATCCTGGAAATTTAAAGACTTCGAATTGGATTCAATCTTTACAAAAAATTCTTATCAAATTCAAAATGAAAATTACGGCCAATCCGAAAAAATTATGGATTGAAGTAGAAATTTTAAGCAGGGAAAGTAGATTTGAAACTTTCAAAATAGTTAAATTGTTAAAATTTTACCCATGGATAACTAAAATTGAAAAGTTTAACATAACCTTCCAGAGAATAAAAAATGTGTGGACTTCGTACGAATAGTAATTTTTAAAAATTACATCATTAAAAAAATAACATCAAAAAATTGTGGAAAATAAAAAAATCAGGACAATATTAAAAATGGCTTAATAATAAACTGCAGAGAAAGAGAAAACATTGCAAATCCTAATATTTGCATCAGTACCAAGTCAGGTGCGAAAATGGACATTATCACTCCATCAAGTACCTCCCCCACAAAGGGTCAACATTTTGAATAACCATAACTCTTATAAAATGTGATGTATATCCGATTGTCTTCAAATTACACACATTACAACATTTTTTATTAATCCAAGGTCTGGAGTGAAGATGGAAAATATCGGTCAACTCCTAGTAATCAAAATTTAAAATTTCATGGATATTTTAAATTTTGATTACTCATAAAACGCGAAATTAACACGGGATTCCATTCAAACTTGGCACATCTCAATATTTCCATCAACACAAGATCTGTTATAAAGACTGTAGAGATCTGACCTTCTAGTACCTCCCCCCACATAGGGTTCAAGATTTCGAAAAACAAAACGCTTAAAGAAAGCGAAATAAGCATCCATCTCTCTTCAAATTTCACAAATTCTAACATTTTTGCTAACACAAGGTTTGTTGTGAAGATGATACATATCTGCCAACCCCTTCTGACCCACAAAGAGTCACAATTTCAAATACCTTTATCATAACTTGCAAAATAAATTCGTCTCTTGTACAATTATCTTTAAAATTTTGTAATGTCGCTATTGTATTTGTATTTGCTGAACTCACATGAATCGTTGAAGAGTGTTTTCGCCAAATTCTACAAATATTTTTTTATTCATTCTACTCGATTTCGTTCTCAGAACATTTTGACAGCTATTCTTATTTTACAAGCAGGAGTACACCCGCCATCAGGTATTTTTCAATCTCGAGTAAAATCGAACAAATCTGGGTTCTGGTTTTGAATTTGTGTCACTCGAACAAACGGATCGGAAGAACGAAAAAGGACGATTTATCTTTAAGTAGTGATAAAGCTTCTAAGAACAATTAAGCTCAAAGGAACGACTGTATTAAAAGCTAAATGAACGACGCACAAAAATCGAGACCTGTGCAAAAAATATGTAAACTGTATAATGATGCAATCGCCACAATCATTTCTAACACCCTTTATCAAATTTAGAAAATTTTGACAAATGCCACTTGTTTATTGAAATAATATTCATTTTCAGCCCACTGTGATGTTTATCACATCATTAGCTTTCACAGAAACACAACTTAAGACTCTCTGAAAGACAAAAAACACATCCAAGTATTGAATTTCCATTATTAGGAATAGTTTTAGAAAATGAAATATCATCATCCGACTAAGAACATTTACAAAGATGATGCTCTCCAAGTGATTCACAGACTCACCGGCTAACACAGATGAATGTTCCATGTAAATTTGTGCACCACGTCATTGTTCCGATATCGGGATATACCATATATGCATGGACGCACAAACACACGCTCACACATGCTAAGCGTGTTTGTCTGCTTAATTTGTTGCTTTAGATTCTGTTTTGTATTGGCAAAATCGCCTACACTGGGTTTCGGGTGAGTTAACTCATCAACACCGTGTTTCTGCCGCGGTGACATGTTTTTCCATTGAATTCTAACTATCGGTCGCCAATAGTGGAACAATTAACAAACAACCAAACCAAACGCCACCCAAACGCCTGTCCACAAGACAAGTGATTTAAACAAAGCGACAGACAACACGAACCAGTCGTCTGGAAAAAGCGGGTGTTTGTTTGGTTGGTCTACGCCATGTCATCGAATGCACTTCGGGCCATTATTCATAATCTAAGACTGACTGCTGATACGATTTACGGCTTAGAGTTGTGACAATCAATGCAAAAGCTTCACCTCTTCCCCTCCTCCGCGGGATATATTTTCGTGTTAATGTGTATAGGTCAAATTTCCTACAATAGAGGAATTAGCATTCATTGTTAATTGTTTGTAATTCTCATTCACTTGGCAATTTCTTTGGAGCTGCAAGAAGGCACACGACAAAGAGCTACTCTCTGAGAAACCTAATGCTCGTCGTGAAGGCAGCAGCACCAGCTTACAAATCATCCAAAGCCCCAACAGCCGTCATACACATAAACAATTCCCACGCACGCACACAATGACATGTGCCGGTGTTGTATGACATGTCGCATATCACGGCTTGAATGGACATCATGGCCAAAAAGTGTGATCTACACCGGCCATAAAAACCAACAGCCAGCTTTGTTGGCACTGTTTTTGTTGTTTTTATGTGACAGTCTCGTCCAGTCCATAAACAAGAAGTCGAACAGACAGACGGACAGACAGTCCAAATCCCCAACCGTAATCACAAATAAATTGCAGTTGTTTTCACTTGTGTGCCGCTGCTGCTGCTGTTATTCTTCGCATTGAATGACGTCACTTGGCCACTAGGTATGACAGCATCACTGCCAACCAACCAAACAAACCACCGCCAGCCATCCAGCCAGTCGAGTAGTAAATCAAGTCGAGCTGTAGTCTCGTCAATCGATAATGACTCAAATTATTTATTTCGATTTTTAGCGGGTCTTCGTGTCATCAAATACCCATTCTCCGAGCATTCTTTGCAGAATAGATTGTTCTCAAATACTTTGAAGGTTTAAGAAATCTATTGTCTGCTCGTGTAGAAATTATCCAGTGAAAAAGTTGACGCAGATTAATCTTTTAATTTTTTATTCCGAAAATTACTTTTTTTGATGAGATAAACTCTGACTTATTTTGCATCTACTTTGAAAATGACGCTTTAGGTGTGGATGTTTTCAGATACCTGCCATAATGACCATTTTGATTGGATTACTGGACATAAATCATTTCGATCGGAAATGTTAATTGTTAATTCAATTAGTTTAGAAGCATCGGCTCACACCACCTTCCCAACAAAAAGTTAGCAAAATTGTAAAGTGTAAAGATTTGAAAATTGAAAAATCATAAAATTTCATGCAATAATCAAAGGGTCCATAGTAAATTCTGAGTGTATTAGGGCTTCAGGATATTGGTATAGGAGTTTGGGTTTGAAATTGTGTATTAAAGGACA